CCTTCCATATTACCCCTTCTTCTGTTTTTCCTATAGTTATTATGTCATCCACGTATGCTACTAATGTGCTAATAGTTTTTGGCGTCCTTCTCATATGCTTAAGCCCGATGCACCATCGAGTATCTCTCTCACTACCTACTGGTTCTAGGGCTGTGTTTAATAATCTAGTTGACAAAGAGTCTCCCTGTTTTAAGCCTGTTTCCACTGTGAACTCTTCATATTCTCTTCATATTCTCCGTTAAACTTAATTTTACACTTAGAGTGTTGCACGCATGCTTTTACCAGTCTCACCAGTTTTGCATTGATTCCAAGTTGGGTCATTACTTTCCGGAGTCTATAACGGTTTATGGAGTCATATTCCTGTCTGAAATCGACAATTAATAGAATAAATTATAATCCCTCCGGAAAAAAATTCTGGATACTCTACTGGTTGCGGGTAATCTTTTTTTCTCCTTTTATGCGGAAATGTGGAGGTTCATTTCCCCCCCCCCCCACTTTAGAAATTCAGAAATTCGACTACTTCAATCGTTTGTGTCCCCCTTCCAATCTCTTCCAACAAACGTTTGTGATTTAAAATAGAAAATAAAAATAAATAGAATAAAAAAATCTATAATTGAAAAATCGATATTTAATAAAAATATCTATGTTTAATAAAAATCATGCCGTTATATTTTGTTAAGCAAATCTATATTTTGATAAAAAATTATATTTGAAAAATCTATTCTATAAAAAAATCTTAATTTTATAAAATAAGTTTATATTTAATGGAAAATCTATGTTGAATAAAAATCAATGACGGTGGTTATTTTATAGCATTTATTATAATTTATAAACAATGATGATGGTAGTCCGATATTAAAGATAAAATATACGTGATGCACAATGTCTCAACTGAGTATAATCAGAAGTACTTAATATGCATGCAAGCCCTGGAAGAAGTACGAATAGTCTTTAAAAAATATGTAAGTACCCACTTATTTTTCTTTTTACTCCCACTTTTCATAAATTGTAATATTTTTATACATTATACTTAGTGATGTGGATTTTACGAAAAAAAATTTTTGGTAATTTACCGTGTACATTTTTACGGTAAAATTGGTAAATTTTTGTTAAAATTCAAATTATAGCGTACCTGTTGAATTTTTTCACAATATAATGTAAAGAAGGCAAGATAAATATAAAATAAAGTATTAGTATTTAATCCCTTTATTAATAATGACAATTAATAATTATTAATTTATCATAGTAAAATATAAAATAAAAATAATTTTAATCTGTTTCAAAAAAAAAATAAAAAAAATAAAAAACAACTTATAGTATAATGAAAATAGCATGTGTAAGTTAACTATACCTATCACATATGTATTAATAACTTCTTCAAAATCTGATCTTGAAGAAAAACAGTGCCAGTAACCGCGTACACCATATCGCAATAATTCGTATCACGTAACTGTCGTTATCATTTTATAAAAATCCAAATTAGTAATTTGTATTATAATCCTAATATCTTGATAAAAAATACAAAGACATACAAATAAAGTGTTCACTCAACTGTTTGAGTGGTAAAAAAAATGTAAATTGTAAATTGTTTTTTGTAAATTTACGGTAAATTTACTTTACCGGTAAAATTTTACATGGTAAATTTACGAGACTCACATCACTAATTATACTTCCTAATAAAAAAAACAAATACATGTTTCTGTCGAGGAAGACGAAAAGCGAAGAGGACATGAAAGACTTGGAAGTTGACAGTCTCACCTTTCAACAAGTTAGCCCTTTTAAATATCTAGACGTTTGTTGACGCCACAATCAACGTCGTGCACCTGCACGCCGTGTCCACCACCAAAGGCCCGATAAGCTTATCTGTCGGCCGACCGGTCACGGCGGCGGTGACTCCGCGTACGCTTCTCCAGTACCGGTGAAGTAGCCGCGACGACCAGTGCGTGTCGTCCGTTGCCGCCCTGTGTGCTTTTGTGTTTTTACTTTTTACCAAACCTCGCTCGCACGTACGTATATGTTATACGCAAATGCTCTACACGTCAGTAGGCACGTAGTACGCATGAAACCGTCGTCAGTCCGAGTTCTCGCATCACGACCGCAATTCGCTCGTCATTGCATTCTCGCCCGTTCCTCGTCGCAGTGCGAATGCATGAAGTGTCTTTGCGTCTTATAATTATCGCCCGTCCGCGAAAGCGCAGCGCGAGCCAGCCGTTCGAGCATCGCATCACACACACACACACACACACATATACGTGATATCACACCGTCGTCATATAAACCAGCTGTTCCGCCGCGGTGCCATATCACCAGCATCAGGTCGTACCGTGATTGTATTGTTGTTTTAATAAATACTATTATTATTGTTAAATTAATATTTTATATATGCTGTAATTATTATGGTGCATCGTTTTGTGATCGCCTGAGTTAATACTACTAACATAGGTTATGTCGTCATTTGTGTTATTATTATCAAATATTATTTGCGTATTACTATACTCATATCTTTATTCTTTTATTTTTCTTAAATCATCTCCTTGATATTCTAAGCTGTTGGTAATCTCCTTAGAGCAATAATTGTCGGGCGTACCAGCCGCAACAACGTTAATGTAAATAGTGCATATTGCATGCACGAGGAAATAAAGCTATGACTAAAGTCTGCTAATAAAGTATATTTTACTATGGTCTCATTGTTTAAGTCTAGGTTACTATCTAGAAAAACCAAAGAGAAACTGTATATAATTTATCTAAGACCAATTGCTACATGTAGATGAAATACATGATCCTCAACTGAAGGGGATTACAATAAACTCCTCGTCTTCGAGAAGAAAATTTTGAGAAAAATGTATGGACCTATTTTCGATGTCAATTAACAAAAATGGTTAAGGAGGTCAAATGAAGAACTGAAGAATCTGTATTCAAAAGAGAACCTAGTGCAGTTTGTAAGGAGTTCGAGACTTGCCTGGGCTGCATTCATGGAGAGCTGATGGGTCTCTTATAAAGATGGTAAATCAAATAGATCGGAAAATACCAAAGCAAAGGACGTCCAAGGCAAAGATGACTTGATGTAGTTAGAAAAGATATAGAGCAGTTGAAACTGGACTGGAATGGAAATTTGGATCTAGCTTATGCAAGAGAAGTATGGGGGAAATTGATTTTAGAAGCAAAGAGCCTAAATGTCTCGTAAAAGCTTAAAAAAAATACTTCTTAATAAAATTAAAAAACATCAAAAAACATAAACTAAGCATTTTAAAAACACAATACAATAATTACTAGAAATAAAAAATCTTTTTTTTTTTAGCTAAATATTATAAATGTGTATTATTAATTACGAAATATGGTATTAAAACTACAAAATCACTAAATGTGCAAAAATATCAAATGTAAATTTTACGATGATTTTGGTAGTGTAGCAAAATAATTTCAAGTTTAGTGTTTACTTAGCGACAAATCTAATAGCCTCCCAAAAACATGCAAATACAACAACTTCCGAGCTCTATAATGACTACGCATGACTGTAAACTATGAAATATTTAATCAAAATCAACAAAAAATATCACTAGGTATATTATAATTATAATTTAAAGATATCAGTTATCTTTCTTAATATACTCGGGTAGAGTTCTATTTAATAATTATATAAACACTGTCCGATTTATAAACGTATCATACTAATGAAAAATAAAAGAGGGTATTTTTAAATCACTGATTATAAATCTATCTTTTCTATTTTGAATTAATGGAATCTTGATTATTCTGTAGTTAGTATTATTTTTAATAACATATAAGTATCATTCATTTTTATTTTATAGTGATTAAAATTAAACTTAAACGTTAAACGTATCTACCTATTTACAGTAAAATTGTATTACCAAATTCAATGAAATATTTATTAATTGAAATGCATCAACTATAAATATAATATTTATAAAATTGTATCATCGTTCTTTTGTCCAAAATGCTATATAGTTGTACATTTATATATTAAATGTGGTCAATAGGTTAGGTTAGGTTAGGTTATTTTATAATATTTTAACTAATACCATTGATTATAAATACCAGTATTCTTTAATAGGTATTTATTAAATAATTTAAATGTTTAAATATCATCCTTAATCAATAAAAACACAAATAATGTGACAATTTGTTACAGTCCTATAATATCTATTTATAGTGTAATCAACTAAAAGAAGTTTACCACAAAATGCATATAAATTAATAAATTCATTACATTCATTGATACTGAAAACTGAGTTGAGGTATTTGATAATTTTAATGTAGATATTTCTTTCCAAACCTTTCTATAATAAAATAGAGGACTGTATTAAAAATTCATCATACATTAGTACTAATAAACTCTTATCAAAATAAAATTAAAAAATTAAAAATTAGATAACAAGTGGGCTAGTGACCTCGATTGTAAATAAACGAAAATTATCTAAACTATCTTTTAAACATCCATTTGACATTAGATTAAATCTTAAATATCGTCAATACTCTAATATACTAAATAATCTAATGAAAGAATAAAAAAAAATGTATTTTCAAAATTCACTAAGTATAAATATCAAATCAACCCTAAGCAAATGTTTAAAATTATCAATGAAATAACGTTAAAATCAAATAGAAATAACATAATCATAGATAAAATTAAAAATAGTAATAACAACATTTTATGCGATGATATGAGTATAGCAAATAAATTTTATAACTTTTTTATAAATTGAGGTAAACATGTTGAAGATAATATTTTAAATAAAGAACAGACGAAAATTAGTTGGGAAAATCTAAATAATAATTGCCATGTTAAACAGTTATGTTTCTCCTATAACCCAAGATGAAAAATATATTATTAAAATTAAACTTAATACATCTTACCATGAATACAAAATTACAAATTTTTATTGAAGAATATTGCTCATGGTATCTCTTATCCACTTATACTACTTGTTACGACACATCGTAAATTATATTATCTTCAGCGTCGCCACGACCAAAGGTCCATGACAGAACCCCCTCAAGCTCCACGTGCCAGAGTGGTAATCGATATTTTATCTGTCCTACTTTCCATGCGTGCGCCATTAACTATTCCTATTTGTACAATGTACATGCCGCGTACGAACAATAATATTCCGTGTCGTCTGTTGACCAAAATACTTCGTGCGCCGTTACACCACTACTCACCGACTAATCTGTGTGTTTATAATATGTTTTATAACAGGTTCTGCGTTTTCTTCAAAAACCAACAGATTACTAATGACATCATTAAAAAGCACTCGGCCATATTCATTGATAACATCGAGGTACCAATACGCAAGTTAATTAACCCGGCCAAACGCATTATTTTGTCGAATGTATATCAAGCTATTCCGAATAAATCTATCATCGAGGCAATAGAGACATATGGTATTAAAATAACATCCCCAATCACGGCGCTAAAAGATGGTTTCCCGCTTGACCAATTCACACATATCACAAGCTTCCGCAGACAACTCTACATCAGTCCTGAAGATTTCCCAAAACTACCAGGATCTATTTCCCTCGACAACACCTCATACCTTATATTCATTACCGATGACATCGTAACTTGTTTTTTATGCAAAAAACCCGGCCACGTATCATCCTCATGCAAGATGATACACACAACGCCCCCTCTGTCAGAAAATATGGACACCTCAAACGAACAAACTTCCACTAATATCTCATCCCACCATATCGTCGAAAAAACCAATAGAATAAACGCGTCTTCTGAACTACCTCTAGAAATCACTAGCGAAATATCCAATAAAAATAATGCACAAATCACCCATGATGATAACTATGATGATATATCGGACACACAGTCACACCAAGCTACTTTTAAAAGACCAGCTCCTGAATCCACATGCCCGTCAGCGCCACCCTCCCCCACTCTGACCAACGACCAAATTGAGTTTTATAAGGATACACTTGATGTCAAAAACACTAATCCTAAAAAACAAACCACAAAAAAAATTAAAGTCAGATCAAGATCAAACTCCTCAACAAGAACCACTGAAATATTAGATAACCTCCTCGAGCCAGCAACGGCTATCCTGCAGAATAAAGACTCCTCCCTTAATCTAATCACTTTCAAATATATTCTAGAAAACTTCACGAACAAAAACTTAAATATACACGAACTATGCATTAGTGTTGGATCCAATGCCACTGAAGTCCTTGATATGGCCGAAAAAGTATTACCACTAATGGTGGAAAAAAAAAATTAAAAACAAAATATCTAAACTAACTCAAATTCTATTCCAATCTATATCTCCCCCCGAAAAGTCAACTCCGCAGACTTCCAACCTGAATCAATCAAACCAATAAAACACTACTCAAAATCTATCCCCACTTCCTTATCATAATGACCAATATCATACAATGGAATCTAGATGGCTTCTACAAACGAAGCACCGATTTACAACGAATCCTTTCCAACTTACAACCCAGCGTACTATGTCTCCAAGAAACCAATCTCAAAATGGGACAAACTGCATATGTTAAAGAATATACCAGCTATTGCAGGAACCGCGTAAACCCTATCAGAGCGAGTGGCGGCGTTGCCATACTCGTTAAAAATAACATTGAAAACAGCCAAGTCAATCTCCAAACACATCTCGAAGCCATAGCAGTAACAATAAAACTTCAAATCCAAATATGCGTATGCAATATATATCTCCCTGACAGCACCAACTTCAGCCTCCATGACCTTATCCACATTATCTCCCAACTACCAAAACCCTTCGTATTAATTGGTGACTTTAACAGTCGGAATACACTACGGGGCTCCTCCTATACGGACATTAGAGGAAAAACAATAGAGAAACTGCTTGAAGAACCGAACCTAATACTCTTAAATAATGGTAGCCCTACCAGACACAACGCAGCTAACGGAAAACTATCAGCAATCAACCTATCTATAGCAATCTCAAACATTGCCCCAAGTATCGAATGGAAGACCCTCCCAATCTATAATGGAAGCGACCACTGGCCAATACAGTTACAACTTTTTCACCAATCTTCTAAAACAGATCCTATAAATAAATGGAAACTCAAATCACCAAACTGGGAACTATTCTCCTGCCTTGTTGACCAGTACATCACAGAAAACCAATTAGAAGTTTCCATTGAACATATACTACCAATAAACCGAACCCTCATTGATGAACTGATCAACAAATTATCAACGCTAATAATAAAGGCATCTAATATAGCAATTGGAAAATCTAGTCGCCCTCTTAACAAAAGAACAGTACCATGGTGGAACGAAGACTGTAAAAACGCAATCACAAAATATAAAAAAGCTCTCAACCGCTTCAAAAAAACCCACTTACAAACAAATCATATACTAGTTAAAAAATACAAAGCTGAATCCAGATACATCACAAAAAAAAGTAAACTAGAATGCTGGCAGAAATATACATCTACATTCAATATCAGAACCAACCCATCAGCAGTCTGGAACAAAATTCGTGCACTCAAAGGATGTAAACACCAACCTCTTCCTAACCATATGCTACTGAACTACATTCAACCTCCGAAATTGCCCATGCATTTGCTGAGACATTCCAATCAAACAATAGCAATGCAAATTATGAGGAAAACTTCTTAATTTTCAAAAATGAAATTGAAAATAATATCACAATTAACCCCTTTCCTCAACCTGACAACGCGGAGTATAATCACCCATTCAATATAAAAGAACTCTACCTCACACTTCACAACTGTAACAGCAAAAGTCCTAGACCCGACGATATCCCTTTCATCTTCTTGAAAAACTTATCGGATAATGCTACCAACACTCTCCTCGCAATTTACAACTTAATCTGGAACAATGGAATTTTCCCCAATCAATGGAGATAGGCACTCGTAATCCCTATACTAAAACCAGACAAAGATAAATTTATTATTCTTAGCTACCGTCCAATTTCGCTTATCAGTACCCTAAGCAAATTACTTGAAAAAATGATAAACAAACGCTTAGTGTGGTTTCTCGAAACGAACAAAAAATTCACAAAACAACAATGCGGCTTCCGCAAAAATCATTCAACCCACGATGTCTTAGCTACACTCCACACAAATATAACTGAATCAATAATTAAAAAACAACACAATTGCTCTCGATATAGAAAAGGCATATGACATGATATGGAAAAAAAAGTACTATCCTCCCTCCAAAAATGGAATATTACAGGAAATATGCTAGCCTTTATTCACAATTTCCTTCTAGATCGAAAAATCCAGGTAAAACTAGGCAATGCACTTTCCGAACATCTAGACATTGAAAACGGACTACCGAAAAGATCATCAATAAGTGTCACATTGTTCCTCGTTGCCATTAATGACATATTTAATATTATAAAGCCTCCCATAAAATGCACACTATTCGCCGATGATTGCAACATATATTGCAGAGGAGCCAATATCAAAACTACTGTAGCACTTCTCCAAACCGCACTAAAAGCAATATCTGACTGGTCCTCCATCACAGGCTTTAAGTTCTCACCAGCCAAAACTCATTGCATAATTTTCAATAACAAAAAAAAAACGAAACAATCCATTATGTATACCGTTTATCGGCATTGACACAAAAATGTAATGTAAAGATAGAATTACACTGCTAAAAATATAATGTAAATATACAATATCACTGTAAAATCCATATATACCACAATTGTAACGTAAAATTAATTTAGAATTTAGTTATTTATTTGTATATTCACTAATTAACGATAATGTAACCACAACCACAGGCTAATGACCTAGCTGTTGAAGCCTTTAATATCAATAAAAAAAAAAAAAAATAAATAAAAAAAATATGTTTTAATACTCAACAGGAATTATTGTACAGGTTCGCCGAGCAAGACCTGTGAACAATAGTGTGCAAGTGGGGGGTGTAGATGTGTACTCGTTTGTGTATGTGCTTATAAATTTATAACAGTAGATTTTAAGGCAAAATATCAGTATATAATTTCAACAAACAAATAATTGTAACATAATAGTATAATATTAATGTAATTATAAATAATAATACCCATCTGGCCAAACGAATACAATAATGATTTGGAGCTAAATATATTTGAGTTGTAATAGAAATAATAATAATACGCAGCCCTTCTGGCTTAACAGCTATATAATAATAATGCTATTAATAATATATATATAGGTATATATATATATATATATAAAACTAAGAAATATGACGATGCTCAGCTGTCCGGTTGCTACCTATCCTATATTTTTAAGAATAATAATAATACACGACACACACAATGGGTCGTAACAATGATAAAATGACAATAATAACGCCGGTTATTAGAGCCTTACAAAAATAATATAAGACACTGGCGATTCAAGCCTAACAATAATAATACAAACGGTGATTCAAGAACGTACAAATCACTCATTCCGCCTGTGCACTACGGAACGGACTGACGCACCCCTGTGGCCTATGCTGGCCAATACTGCCTCGTGACCTTATCTACATATTAAATAATAACTTAAAAATAATTAATTGCTATAATGACCAGTGGCGTATTTAGGATTTTGTGTGTGTGGTGGTCGGTGAAATGGTGATATCATAATTTCCGATGCGGCGGTGACACTATCTATCTTCTTGTGGAACATGTTTGTTATTTCCAATCGTCTATGACACAACGTTGCAGTAGTGACAAACACACTAGTTCACATACGTAATTTGTTGTTAACTCCATAGAGGAAGGTTTTAGGCATAATAAAAGAACACACTGTTCGACTGTTGACGTGGTTGCGTCAAATGTCGTATATTTAAAGGTAGACAATGTAAAATACGGCAACGCGCTACTTGTAAATTACAATGACGAGTCGGTTAATAGTGAGACGATGGAATCGGGGGGGGGGGGTGGGGGGGCTTCATCGAAAGACGAGGACGTCTTCGGGACAAGAGTTCGGTTGACTAGAGCGAGAGGAGGTGCACGATGACCATCAAGATCGGATCGCTGTTTGACTCGTTTGTCTTCGGTTGGGAAGGAACATGGCGTCGAGCGTAGATGTGTGGCTCGGTCAAAGAGTAAAGAGTGAGTAAAGAGTGAGCAAAGAGAACGAGTGTTGGGCGGTCCAAGGCGACTTAGCCGTTGACGTCGCGAATTGTCACTTCGACGAGATCGTTGGTTACGGACAATGAACATAAATATAAATATCACAGAGGTCGTGTACAAAGACAATAAATAAAAACGAATATAAAATAAATCAAATGACGAATACAATAACAAAATGGTTCGGGATGCGGACGGTTACAAAAAGGCGGGAGCAAAGTGGTGATACGGGCCCTGTATCGCCACATTCTTCTTATTATTATTTAAATTAATTTATTATGTACAATTGATATAGTTTTAATGATATCAATTTTTTTTTGTTATTGTCACATCATTCGTACCATATTGTACACTCTCGCTAGTCTCGTAGTAGATACACGAGACGTTCTATTTCATTGTATCTTTTAACATCGTTCAATAAAATCTTTGAACACACCAAATCCAAATCATATGTGGTTTTCTGTTACTGGAACATCGAACTTTGTTGACATTGCGTCCACTGTCCAAGTCTGACGTCCTGACATATTTAGTGCCTGTCAACCAGGCATCCGCATTCGATTGGGTGAGTACATGTATATTAGTACGTTATTCTTGCCAGCCTTCGTGTGGAATCCATCTCCTTGACCGAATCGGGACTGGTGCCTGATTGGGCGGCACCCGTTTCGCCCAGATACCCGTTTCGACCAAAGTCATTTTAGTCGTTTTCAAATTAAGTTGGCAATGATTTTTTAAATAATATAGTATTTTAGTATACCATATAATATTATGCTTATGCACCTATTATAATTAACTATTGAAAAAAAAAAAATTACATAATATTATAACATATGACTATTTTCTTATATATTCAATAATCAGTTATTTATTTTTTTACATACAATACAGGCATTTTCCCAATTTAAATTAATATTTCAATAAAAACTTTTATTCTAACTCTCCATCAATCATAAGTTGGTTAAATATTATACGTAATGAGATCCAGACAGAAACGTATATCAAAATGAATAGTGTTGAAATTCCCAAAAAAACAAAAGACAAAAAGACGAAGGAAAGACAAGAATACAACGAAAAACGTATACTTTTATATAGATCTGGCGAAATTTCTAGGTACGAATTTGTAAAAAGCATGTGTAGAAATTTTAAAAAAGAAAATT